GCTAACAAAACTCACCAACTGCAAATCTCACCAAACTGTGGTGAGATTGAGTTTAATGATTTTTGCTTTACACCCGAATGCAACCGAAACTTCCATAACGGCTTGCAGAAGTCCCTTCGCGTCTGCCATCGGTGAAGATTAAAAAGAGATAGCAAACTATTCTTTCTCTTTCTAAGAAAACGATGTGCAATGGAATCATTTTTGTTTCGAGTCAACTCTCAGCTTGATGTTTGCACGTTGTGAATAGTCTCGCAATATCAAAGGAGCTTGTAAAATCAATTTCAAGCATGATATTTTGTTCCAATATCACTCGTGATATTGATTTCTGATTTTGCCAACACTGGCCCCAACTTTCAAAACCAGATTTAATGCCATATTTATACTCGAATCGGTTGAAAAATACTCTCAATCTTCTAGTTTTACTCGATATCTGTCCATTGCAAGCAATATTTTAATAATTGTTTATGTTTTGAGAGTTGGTGCACAGGTAGATTGAGGTTAAGAAAACACCACTGGCTGATACTGATCATAACGCTGATGTACTGACATGTTCATTGGTCCAGAATAATCTTCCTCATCTATACCGCCCGTTCCAAGTCCGTCGAGCACCTGTCAATCAACGGTTTCTCACCTCCGAAACCAACCGGATTCTTTAGTGATGAGGTGTCCTGCTCTACCTATAATCCCATATTCAGTCCCATATGGAAAAAGTAGGCATTGGGAAAATGGCAGTTGAAGTTACGAAGTGCAATTCCCATGTTTACAGTTGTCATTTTCGCATTTATCGCAAGGATCCGACTCTAATTGAAAGGTCCCGCTATTTATACCCTTCGGAATGTTGAAACACCCTCCAAAGGCGCGACAAAGGGTCAGTCAAAATTGGTTTCCTTAACAACAAAATTAGGGAATGACATTGATAATGACCATGTATCAAAACCCTAGTCTTAACCACTTCAAACTAGGGAACAACGAATAGAAGATTAGGAATCACATAGATGAAGACTAACTAACTCATTTTTTCCTTGCTCAGGATCATCCTCGGTGGACAAAGCCGAGTCTTGTCACCATCAACAAGGCATAAAAAGTAACAAGGACTAAGATGTGTTCCTTGGATTACTGAAAAATCCTGTTTCCCTAGTTTGAAGTAGTCAGGACTAGGAATCGGTGGTAGATCTTACATCCCGTAACGTACCACGAAAAGGTGATCTACCCACGTTACGGGGCAAAAGTCATAATTAATTAATTGACAACTTTTCCAAGATAACATCAGTTACAATGAAGCTTGCATGTGTTTGTTATATCAGCTATAATTTGGCGATCCAAAAAGCAGAACTGTAACTTGACCTCTGGACGATCTAATTTCAGGATGGGACTGATATACGATTACTTTGATTTATAGCGAATTCGTTTATCATCGGGGTTAACACCAGTTCCAACCCATTGCGAAACCGAACTTTTTGTCACTGTGAACCTCAGCCTAAGCAAGGTTTTTAAAAACAAACGAGCCAACTGACGTTTGTCAGAAAACAAGCAAACCCAATCTTGACCCGATCCATGTTGGAACGGAATAATAAACGAATTCGGTATTAATGGGACAAACTGACTTAGCGGCGCCGGTGGTGTAGTGGTAAGCGTGAATACCTCTCACCCCAGCAGGCCTGGGTTCAATCCCAGTCGGCGCCGCCGGGATGTTCTGAGGCATAACATCTCTGATCACGGAAAGAAAAGCCATTGCTCCCCGGTTCATGAGTTGATGGGTCGATAGGTAGGGTCCAGGTGTGGGAGCTGCCTTCCTGGCGTCGGTAGCATTGGTGCTTAGCACGGAAAACAAGATCGACGTAAAACAAATCAAAGAAAAAAAAAAGACAAACTGACTTGACGTTGTTTTCACAGTTTTCATGATCAAAGTCCGTAGTTTTATCCCGCAATATGAAAGTAGATGTAAATTGATAGTTGATAACGTTGTTATCTTAAAATTGACGAATATCCATGTGGGACTGATATGCGATTATAGGCAGAACTCCATTGAGTAATTGATTTTAGTTCAACGATTATTTGCTGGCCAAAAGTATATTGGAGTTTGAATCATCTTTATCATCCTGGAGGACCATTGAAAAATCCTGCCCTTCTATGGACACATTTTCTTTGCCAACCATGACGACCGTTCTACAAACGACAGTTCAATTTTGCGAGTCGTAGTTATCGAAATTACAATCGTTTTCTCTATAATCGACACGTGAGACGCGCACGGAAGCGAACCTTCGCACGAATCCGAAAAGTTTTTGCTCGTTTGTCAACTGCTAACGGAAGGAATCCGGGTTACCTTGTTCCATGTTTCTCGGGAATGACTCGGCTAATAGCGTAAAGCTGGGTTTAGACAGGGCAGGTCAATTGATCAAGTCGGTTGAATTCAACTGACTTGAACGCGAATTGAACGTGTAAACCATGCCATTCAACTGTCTTTATCAACTCACTTGAACTGAAAAAAGTTGAACCAGGTTCAACTTTTCAAGCCAATTGAATTCAACTGAGTTGATCATTTCTAGAGAAAAAGGCGACTTGTTTGCTCGTCATTTCAAGCAAGTGTTCCACGATTTCTCCGCTTCGCCGACACAAGTGCTGGATGCTACTGTTGGGATGCCACGTGATGTGTTTAGTTTCGATATTCCGCGCATTTCAGAAGACATGGTGATAGCTGCAACACGCAAACTGAAGCTCTCGTTTGCCAACAGGAACTGACGGAATTCCGTCATCAGTTCTAAAACGTTGTGTAGCTAATCTCTGCCTTTCACTTGCGTGGCTATTCAATCTCTCGGCACAGCAATGTGAGTTCCCCTGCCGCTGGAAACTTTCGTATCAGCTCCCAGTCTACAAAAAAGGCGATTAACGGAATGTCGCAAATTATCGTGGAATCACTTCCCTTTGTTGTGTGTCTGTTCAAAACTGTTCGAGATTATCATAAATGATACTCTGTTCGCGTGCTGCCCAAATTTTAATCGAGACTGAACAACACGGCTTTTACCGGAAGCGCTCCGTGTCCACGAACCTGGTGCAGTTTACTTCTAACTGTTTGAGATGCATGGATTCAGGATGGCAGGTCGATGCTGCGTATATGGATCTAAAAGATGCATTTGACACGATGGATCATAATGCCTTGCTTGCCAAGCTGGAGATACTCGGCGTCTCATCAACGGCTGTGGATTAGTTCAGATCATACTTGGTAAATCGCTATGTACGGGTTAAGATTGGCGCGTCGGAATCGGATGTTTTCTCATACAACTCGGGAGTTCCGCAAGGCACTAACCTAGGACCGCTACTGTTTTCAATGTTTTTTTTAAAACGACGTCGCCTTTCTGATACCATCAGGATGCCGCGTTTTCTATGCACACTATATGAAAATCTACAAAGTTTTTAAATGTTGGGTTCTCCAGAATATGTTAGGTATTTTTCTGACTGGTGCTCAAGAAATTTGATGAGTGTAAGGCATCGAAAAATGTAACATTATTTCCTATCACCGAAAAATCGAACCAATCATGTTTGACTATGTTCTCTACGGACGCTTTCTTGCTCGTGTAGAGCACATAAAGGATCTCGGCGTTACCTTGGACTGCAGGCTCGCTTTCAGAATCGACTACAATGACTAAGCTAATCGACAATTATTGGGCTTTATTTTCAAAATTGCCGACGTCAGGTCACTCTACTGCTCGCTTGTGCGATCCTTATTCTAGATAAACATGTCAAAAGGTCCTATCTGCTTTGATCGATTCTCTTCATCGACTTTCTCTTTCGTCAATAACTCAGCTGCAAAACCTTTCCCTGTTGTATTTGACGTTTTGGACGCTAGATAAGAACCTCCTTTATCAAACTATGTGGTAGAATTAGCGCGAAATCTGTTTGCATAGCAGTAGGTAGTTATGGAAGGAGAAAGTCGATGAAGAGAATCGATCAAAGCAGATAGGACCATTTGAAATGTTCATCGAGTAATGGAGTCAAGTTTAGGGGGCTTATTACGGATGTCACTTCACGGTGAGAAGTTGTCACTTGTCGTCTCGGTGTAGTGACTCCCATTTAATTTGTACGGCAATCACGGCTCTTATTCTCAATATCACTTCCTTGTCACCGTGTAGTGACGCTCGTAATAAGGCCCTAGTTGTTTGGTGCCCTCTCCATGCTAGCGGGATCACTAGAATTGAATCCGTTCAACGAGATATTGTGACATATGCTCTTCGTTTCCTCAACTGGCGTGACCCAACAAACTTGCCACCGTACGAAGAGCGTTGCCGTCTCCTGGGAATCATTAGAGGTGAGACGGACGTGAGCTGCTTACGGGTGGCATTGACTGTCTAACACTGCTGGCTCAGCTAAATATGTATGCCCCTAAGAGGCATCTTCGTCAACGCGACTTTCTGTTTTTGGAACCACGGTGCCGAAATTACACGAGCCAATTCGAGCAATCAGCCGGCAATTCAACAGTTTGATTCATTTAGACAATAATTGTCAGTTGAATTTTTCAATATAAAAATAAACGAGCCGATTAAGTCTCCGCATAGTTTTCATTCTGGTATTTCAGCAGGTGGTAGTTTTCGATGCCATCCAATTCGTGTGATGATACGAATTCATTTTGGGGCTTCCCTTAGCTCAGTCGGTAAAGGCGCAGCTACAAAGCAAGACCATGCTGGAGGTGGCTGGGTTCGATTTTTTCGGGTTGGAAAATTTCTCGACTTCCCTGGGCATAGAAGTATGATTGGACTTTTGCCACACAATCATATCAATGCAAAAATGGTACAGGCATCGAAAGCTCTCAATTAATAACTGTGGAAGTGCATCTAGAACACTAAGTTGAGAGCACGCAATAAGCTAATATGCGATATACAATAAGCTTGAAATGCGAAGACGAAGAAGAAGACGAATTCATTTTGATCATCAATCACAAATTAGACATTGCCAAAGACTGAAATCACTAACAATGTCTTTATTTTTTTGTTCCTCGTTTTTTTCAGGATAAAATTCCAGAAAAGGCAGCTCAGCTTCAGCAACCTCCGCCAGCAGCAGAAGTAACGGCTGAATAAATCTATTGATTATTATTATTAATTAATTAATTATAATCGTAAATATAAATACCGATGAGCAAGCAAAGCGGGAGGAGAAAAAAAAAGCAAATAAAACCAGGAATACTTTTCTTCTGAGAGGAACAAAACACACACCACAATGCATTGAACAAATTTCATAACCAACCGAAGAAACCATAATAGAATCCGGAAAACAGATGGAGCATTCAGAACGCAACACACCACGCAGCAGCGCCGCGAGAGAAGCAAAATCAAGAAGAAACCATTTTTACATATTTTTTAAAAATTTAAAGTTATATTATAATTAATTTTATGAAAACGCTAAAAAAGAAGAAACTCCATAAATACTTTCAGAATACACATATATTAGAAGGGTTCGAGAATTAAAAAAAAAGAAAGCATTAAGCAAATCACATGTCGTGTGTGTAGAGAGATGCATCGAAACAAATGGGACGGATTCACTGTTCGGATACGTTGTAAGGCAGAGGCACCACATGTTTTTTTCTTTCTTTAAGTTTAGTGAAAAATAAAAAGAGAAGATAATTCAAGCTGCAAGCGCTAAGTTATGAGTAATTAATCGCTGATGATTGTCCATAACGAATGCATTGTCCAATTTTACAAGATAGAAACGAGAGTAAATAAAAGATATGATTGAAGAAAACAAAAACCATGCAAAAATTTCATTTCCTCTAGGGAGAACAAAACAAATACACAAACCTTGGGATATTATTGATACAAATAAAAAAAAAAGTAGCAGCATAAGCACGGGGTGGGAGAGGGGGACACAAGCTAGACGATCTCTAATGTTACGGAACTTGGGGGCGTAGTGGGCAAGTTTGAAGCAAACTTGCTCCATCTTCTGGCTGGTTTCCTCAATCTCTCGCTACTATTACTACTACTACTACTACTAGGGCGCAACTTTATAAATGTAAAAGGATTACTTAGTTTAATTGATAATTGATAAATTATCCTATGAAGCTAAACAATTTTCGAAGAAAAAATGTAAACATAAGCGTAAGTTCTTTTCTTTTATCTTTGTTGTAAATTCTATTTCAAAGAAAGGAAGAAGATTGAAGCATAAGGAGGAAACACAATTTTTGCTGGTAGAGAACGAGAAACTTTCATAATTCTAGCCGTATCGAATTCAAGAACAAGTCCATATTTAATCCAAAATTTCATAGTACATGTCATAAAACAATGAAGAAAAAAAAATCACGAAAAAAACATAACTGTAGTTTTTAAAAGTTTATCAATAGTAGCAAAACAGACGAGGCATAAAAAAACAGAATCTTTCACATACATCCACACTCATGAACAAACATTTCCAACCGTAAGCCCGACGCGGAGTTGACCATCCACCACTGGTAATCGATCGCTTTTTTTTAGAGATACAATTTTAAAAGCACGCCCCACAATAATGGTGCAGTTTTTACACCCCGTCTTGTGGTTGTACCAGCAGGCGATAATTAGAAAGAGGACGCGTACATTTTTCTAGAGGATATATTTTATTCACGCAGAACAAGGATCCCACGAAATTTTTGCAACACTAAAAGACTGCCAGAACAGACTAGGAATGTCGCCGACACCTCACCGCGCGGCGACGAAACGTCAGAATCGAATATTTGGAAAAACGGAACATTATACACTTTTTAAATCAACTATTTGCGAAAGAAACGCCATACCTCCGTCGTCTCGGGATCAAATCAGAAAGCCGAATCAAACAAAACAGACTAAAAAAAAACCTACCAAACTGCACCCGCGGAAAGATGTAATTGTCGAAATGTCAATTTTTTTAAAAGTAACGTGAAATTAACACGAGAAATAGTAAAGAAAATAAATCAAAAGATACACACACACACGCAAACATACGGTTGTATAGTCGCGAGCAAACGAAGCAAATATTTCTGAACGGAGGAAACAACACCGGGCAGCTTTTGCGCGAGAGTTTCGTTTCTGTGCATTTGGTGGACTGTGGAAGGCGAAGGAGATCGGATGTAGGAATCGATATAATTGAGGAAGCAGTTTGAACAATGTTAAACAGGAAAGCAAAATCTTAACAACTGCAATAGACGCTACAGCTCAGCCAAGCAACAAACAAATGTAATAGAATCCATCAATTAAAGAACAACAACACAAGAATCAAAATAAATGGAATAAAGTGAAGAAACATTAGAAAATTGAAAGTGGCGTGAACGTAGTGCTGTTTTGAAAGAAAATTCCAATGTCTATAATATAATAAGGTAATGTCTATAATATAATAAGTTAAGGCGATTTTCAAGATTTAGCTTGATTTTCATGCAAAATGGACAACTTTGATATGCTGTAATTTTTGATTGATTGATTTCCTTTAATTAGTAGATTTTCAGCCGCAGGCGGTTCATCTCCGGTAATACTGTAATTTTATTCTCTTATACGAGATTAATAGAGCTGAAATCTTTGCCACAGAACCAGAACTGCAAATACATGACCCTTATTACCGATGTCACTTCACGGTGAAGTGACAACTTGTCACTCACGGTGAAGTGATTCCCATTTGATTTACACGGCAATCACTTCACCGTGAGTGACAACTGGTCACTTCACTTCGTTTTCACCGTGAAGTGACACCCATAATAAGGGCCCATATGTTCAATTTTAGCATAGTTTGAATGATTTGAATTTCAGCTAATTTTTGAGTTTTAAAATTTTACATTACTCATAATTCAAACAATCCCCATCCCAGTAACAAATGTTGGCGCGTAGGTCCGTCACCCCCTCACTTTTACTAGATATCAGTTTTAGTGTAACTAAATAAACACAGGTCATCTTCCAATTAATTTGTTTGAACATCTCAAGACACATTCTAACTCGGAAAACGCCTAAATGTATGTATCACCTAATTAATCATCGCTGATCAACCAATGATTTTTTGTAATTTTCGATAACTTCTAGCGATTGGATCTGCTTAAAACGTTTCAGAAATTAAGTTTAATTATTACTTTAACTAACTCTTTGGTTATTTTGGTGCTACAAGAATTATTGACATGCTTAGTAATGTTTCGAAAATGACCAATTTCCCATACATTTTTGTATGGCGTCCTTATATTTATTTCCGAAGGAGAAAATCACATTTCCATTTATTTCCCCTGCGTACATGATGCAATTGGTTATTTCTATGGGTGATATTGTAGCATGATAATGTGGCTTCCAAAAATACATGGTTTAGAATTCCTCTGATTCTTATATTTGGTAGGCGCCATGCTTTTTTATGTGTCTTTATATTTATTTCCGGGAGTGTACTGCTATGCAAACAGATTTCGAGCATCCAAAACGTCAAATACAACAGGGAAAGGTTTTGCAGCTGAGTTATTGACGAAAGAGAAAGCCGATGAAGATAATATGATCGGAACTACTACACCAAACGTGACAGAGCTGCTTGCAAAGGATTCACTTGGACTGATTTGGTGAGATTGTTCCTTTTTTTACTTTTATCTATTTAAACTTAATTTCTATGAATCCGTAGCATTTGGAATCATTTGATTCGGATGAGACTTAACTTTCATCCTATGGATTTTAGAAATCCTATTTTTTAGGAGACATCCTACTAAATACGTGCCATCTACAAAGCAGGAATTGCTTTGATGATGGAAGTGTACACGCAGTACCAATATACATTTTATATCGGTACTACGTGTATGCGGGGCGTGTTGTAAGTTCATGCATTGTTTCTTCTCATTGTAGACAGCGAATAGATTACGTATAGGTTACGTCCGCACACCGCTCTCTGTTGTCCTTCGACTGAGGTCACCTGGTTTGATTGAGGGATGGCAGTGGGTGGGCGGTGCCGTCCACGCTTTTACGGAGGGAGGACTGTACGCTCGAACACAAGGGGTAAATACCTGTGTTCCATCCTAGGAGATCGGACAACCAAGGAGTGTACATTAACTTTCTTAGCTCTGTCACTCCCAACGATTTATATAGCCTATTTTCAAATCCTGCATACGGAGCGGTTGGTACGGTCTGTCCCCGTTATTTGATTACCTGTGGATTAAATGTTAACCACTGTCTATACTTATTAAGTAGACATGGTAAACATTCACTTCCACAAAAATTAACTAAACGCTACACAGTAGGCCTGGCCGCTTTATTGTTTGTTTCACATCCTTGATGTGCAGCAGGCATTAATAATGACAAGAAAAATGATAGATGTATTTCTATCATTTTCCAGGATTCTTTCAAGTACTGGCTGTGTATGTGTAGACTAGACTAGACTAGACTAGACTAGAGAAAGCCGATGAAGATAATCGATCAATGCAGATAGGACCATTTGAAATGTTTATGTAGAATTGCATTGTAATACACCATCACTGGAAATGCTTCCGGCAACGGGGGCTTTAGGTAGTGATGAAATGTCGCTAGAACTATTCAACAGCCGCAGACAGTATTTGAGCAAAGTCAAGTGCACACTTTTTGCCTGTAGATTTGAAAACATACTTCAATACAAATCTCCGCGTACATCGTACGGGTTAGGCAAAGAGTGTGCGTTTGACTTGCACTGTCGCGGGGCCCTGTTTACTAAAAATGGACACATGAATAATGCTCGTGTAACATTTGAAAAGGGCCTAACAACTTTTGTATATAATTTGCTAGGTCATTTTCACGAGAATCGAAGTACGCCCACGCAAAGCAAGAGCACTATCGGGAAGGGGAGAATATCCTCTGCCCTATGGTGTTGTTAGTTTGCGTGAGCGTATTCGGTTCGTGCGAAAAAGGCTTAACAAGTTTTGTGTACATAAGTTGATAGACCCGTTTCAAATGTTACGTGAGTATTATTCATGTGTTCATTTTTAGTAAACAGGGCCCCGCTGTTGTGTCACTTTTTGTCGAGTGAGTGAACTCAAATCCATCCGTGCACTCGTCTATGGCCCTTCGCTGCTTTTTCATCTTCCATTCAATTTTCATACTGCCGTACTCTAACGGAACTATCTACCTACACGGAGATGAAAAACTACCCAAAATTAAGTACTTTACCCTCAATTGCGGGGTTCAGCCCAAATTTGAGTAAATCGCATTTAGTCAACAACCTCTGGAATAAAAAAAAATACGATGATCCCAAGGGGTGGTCACTCTACACACTTATTTTGCGCCAAAAATTTTCTCAGTGTACCTCAGTGTGTCGCAGCGGTCGCAGCTGTACCAACAATCAATACGAAACTAACGATTTTAAATTGGGTCACTAGTTGACTAGCCTATTGGTCCCAAGCAAACGATTAACGTACCCCATTCTAGTCGAAATTCTAGTACTACGCAATGTTTGTTTTGATACGCTATGAAAGTTTGACAGATAAAATGAGGGGTTAGTGGATTTTCCTATCGATTAGCTTGGGACCGAAGATAGTACCAGAGCTGAGCCAAAAAGTTGAGCACGTTATTTTGGGACCTCCTAATCTAAGAGTTACCTCTATGGTACAACCATAGAGGTAACTCTTAAGACTACACACAAAAAACAAAAATTGTTGGTTTAAGAATAATGCATGATCAAACTAAAACTTTCCTAAGTTTCGTAGTTTCAACTATGATATTTTTCAAATGTAAAATAATTTTTTTTGATTTAAAAGTGTTTCTTTCACTTTCAGCTTGTAATTTTAAAAGCCGATTTTTTAGAAAAAAAAGTTGTAAAATTGTCAAAAAATCTCTTCCTTGCGAAGTTTAGTTGTTAGTTTCGTATTGATTGTTGGTACAACCACAATGGTACACTGATAAAACGGCAAAGATTTTATTTATGTGATTACACACATACTTTTTAAAAAACACTCCACACATACATTTTATAAACAAAACATAAACTTCATATGCAATACATATACCAAGTATGTGTGTTTCAAATGAACATCATGTGTGGTGGCAAATAGCAAAAAATATGTGTGGACACACATGCAAAAAAATACACCGGCTGCTGGGCCACGGAAAGCAAACTTCAAAATGGTGATCATAAGCTCTTTTTAGAAATACTACTACTAGAAAATATTGTTTATCTGAAGCTGTTATCATAATTTGTTGGTAAATATGATTAAATTTCCCTGGAAAAATATGAGTAATTGAATATTTTGTTCCAGTTTTGATGCCAATTGATCAACAGCTTGTGGGATTACATGCTGAATATGCGATTTCTTTTTCATCGCACTATACGAGCAAGACCAAGCCAGCAGAAAGCTAGATGGGGCTGGAAGTGAATGGATATCCTGGTTTACCGGTCTGTGGATATGTTCTACATCCCAGCGCTTTCGTTGGTTGAGCACGGTGGCTTGGACAACTTGTAAGTTTTGGGATGATTGTTATGGTTAGAGTTGCTAATCTTGAATTCAATTCTATTTTCAGTTGCCATCGAACGCTTTTTTTTTACGCCCATTTCACTAGCGTTTACAGCACTTTGAAACGTTTCTATTCCGTATATAGTGACCGAGAATAAATATATCATGGTACATTGGATTTTTAGTTTTATTTGTATAAAATAGAATACCAGCCTGCATATTTCAAAATAATATAAACAATAATACATATAAACCTACAAATGAAATTCATCTGACACTATCCATAATGGCCATGTGTGACCACACATAAAATTTATTGCAGGCAGAATGGAAGCTTTTTATGTGTCCCACACATAAATTTCATATGTGTAATCAAATTGCAAAAATCTATGTGTGTGGCACATAAACGAAATATGAAGAATTTCCTCAGTGTACTAATTTGTATGTCTGTCTGTGGTACACGCAGAAAAAAACATAGTTCAACCAAACAGAATTCGTTTCATTTTTAACAAAATTTTGAATAGAATATGGATCAATAAAATTGATGGAGTAATTCAACAAAACATTTAGTTAAAATAATACTTCAATCACAGACAAACAGACATAACACATTGAATATTTCTCACTGTAGAACATCGTCGCTAAAACATAACCACCATCTGTTGAGTAAACTGTGGTGGGCACTACGCTGAACAGATGGCGGTAGTGTGTAAACGTCAAACGCAAGGCAATTGACTATGCGCGCCACAGGTGGCGGTACTACCAACTACGATACTTTTGAATTGTCCGTTAAATGCTTGTTCGATGTTATGTCTGTTTGTCTGTGCTTCAATGTTTATTGAATGAAACATCGGTTTTATTGATTCAAAACAATGTTGTCTTGCTTGGATCAACATGAAGCATTATTCAAAGTGATTAACGTTGTTAGTTGTCTTGAAACGTAATTTTTATTGTTTCAGAATCAAATTTATTTAAATCCCAGTTTAGGTTAAGTAGTCTTTTTTGAAACATGAACCAATATTTTTTCAAATCTGGTTTCAAACAAGTTATTTACTTAGCCACTGTTTATTTATTTATTTGTTTATTTATTTATTTATCAATTGGCCTATTGCGTTGCACCATTTGCTGCGTGAATAAGTTGTAGAACGTGTTGTCCTTGTGTGCCTTGATGTGCACCGGATGTCGATTTGTTATTGTTGATGGTAATTTTGAAGCAATTCTGCTGCTACCTCGGTAGTCACTAAGCTGCTGATGGTGACGATGCTGCTTCAACAATGGATGGTTCTGTTGAATCTCCGGAACCAGACGTAGGTTGAAGTTGGCTTAATTCTGTTCCTCGACGTTCGGTGAGGCACAGGGGGTACCGAGGGAGGTTCTGCATATGCAGTGCCAAAGAACGAATCCGTCGATGATCAACAGTGTAGCCTAGTTTCGCCCTATCGCACGTCAGCGCTGAAAGTTCAAATGCAAGTTAATATATTCTATAGATTGCTTGTCGAGAAACTTTATTAATCGATATTATTTTTAAAACTAAAACTTACTTTTGAAGACCAAAGTTTGAAGGCAGCTTTTCCATAAGGAGGAACTTTTTAACTATAAATAGCATCGATGAGAATACAGGCTGACAGTTTGAAACGTGCACTTAAAAATATTTAGTTAAAACAATGAAAGCAGTTTTAAACAATTTTATTGATTTGATTTAAATGAACTTCTGCATTCATTTGAATCTTTTTAGTGAACTGAAACAAAAAGAAATGTCGTATTAAATATTAACAACGAAATATTTTGTTAATTTACGCCTCAGTGTTTTTTCTGCGTGTATAACCATTTGAAGTATTGCGGATGTTTTCGTTCAGTGTATTTGAGTAGATCCTACTCAAATTTGGGTAGTTTTGAAATAGCGTGTTTAAGCGAAGCTGTCAGTCGTTGATAACAGAATATAAATAATGAAATAAAATCAACAACAAAATTAATTTGTGTTTTCGATTTACTGCATGTAAACAACTAAGTTTAAATTTCTGGCTAAATCCCGAAGTCCTGAACAGAATAATGCACGATTTACTAATTAACGTTGCCAGGGAGGAAGATATCGTTCAGGTAAATAAGTCTAAATTAATTATTAACATGGAGGAGGTAGGACAAATGACGGCTTCGGAATGTCTTCATCTTTTATTGTCAGGGGGATGCAATGAAGTCCTTGATAGTTGATTTTTTGCATGAAGGTGCATCATATTCCACAGCATCGCTTTGAAAACAAACACTCAAAGACTTAATTTATCCCCTGACTGTAATAGATAAAGAAGTGCCGAAGCCTTCATTATTCCTATTTCAAATAAATTGGGAAGATAATCTGATCAACATGATCAACTGCAAAATAAATATTCTTCCCGAAAAATAGAGAAGAATAGTAAAAATTGAATTGCTGATGTGCTACTTACGAGGAATGTTTATTTCAGTTTATCTAAATAAATAAAACAAATTATTTCCCCAACTATGGGGTCTTACTTACCTTACCAATCAGGTTAAGGCCTTGTTGTCCTCTGCTGTCCGAAGAAGTCGTCTCCACTCTACTCGATCCATGGCCACAGTTCGCCAGCCTCGTAGTCTGCGAAGGGTCCGCAGGTCACCTTCTACTTGGTCGATCCACCTTGCCCGCTGCGCGCCTCTTCTTCTTGTTCCTGTTGGGTCGCTTTCTAGAACCATTTTCACTGGGTCGTCGTGCGGCATTCTTACGACGTGCCCAGCCGACCGTAGTCGCCCAATTTTTGCAATGTGGACGATGGATGGTTCTCCCAGCAGCTGGTGCAATTCGTGGTTCATTCGCCTCCTCCACGTTCCGTCATACATCTGCACTCCACCGTAGATGGTACGCAACACCTTCCGTTCGAAAACACCAAGGGCGCGTTGGTCCTCCACGAGCATAGTCCAGGTCTCGTGGCCGTAAAGGACCACCGGTCATATCAGCGTCTTGTAGACAGTCAACTTCGTGCGGCGGCGAATTTTATTCGACCGGAGCGTCCTCCGGAGTCCAAAGTAGGCACAACTATGGGGTCACTTACCGTATTTTAAATCAAATTGCATTTAAATTCACATAACTCATAGAACCGTGCTACCGGTGGACGCATAATTGTCCCATGTGCAATTGAGTTTCATGTACACATGGGCCAATGGCGTAGCAGCATTTACATATTTTATTCAAAAAATCTATTTTGGTAAATATTACGTAAACATCAAATCAATGCACTTAACTTCAACATAAGCACGTGTTGCCTCAATGAAAAATATTATGCTAACTTCGACACTCCCCAATGTTGAATTATTCACTATCATGCGATAAAAACAACCACCCAGACTATACAAACCATCTCAAGCTGCAAATTCCGTTCCAGATTGTTCACCTCATCATCGACCATCTGCTGGAAGTGCCAAAAACGGATATCACCAGATCGAAACTGGCATCCGCCTTGAGCATCTCCAGTGCCGCAGAAGATCTGACCGTTACCTTAAGATTGCTGGAAAATCTATTCCGTCAGTATTGCTTGAATGAGATCAACGAGCCGGAGCTGAAGTCACACTTTTCCAATCTCGGCTTACCGATGCAAAGTGCCCTGGTAGCAGCAGTCGAACTACGAAAAGCAGAAATCAGCCAATTCTTAATCAACGAAGTCAATTCCAAAGACAGTCTGCTCATGGAATCGTTCGATTGGGATGTGAAGTGGATCATGGGAAATAGTAGCCTGGCCTCGACGCGGGAACAGATTGCAACCATGGCGTTGAATTGTCGTGGCAAGGAGCAAAAGATGAAAACGCTACGGTTTGAGATGAATCGGGAAAGATTGGAGGATGTTATTAAAGTTTTGGAGGAGTGCAGGACATGCGAGGTGGATAAATAAATGATGAAAACTGGTTGTACTGGCGTTTTGTAAAATTATTTTTATTTATCGAATGTTACTGTGCAATAGTACCGTGTGGTGCTCGTTCACCGTTCAGTTAAGAGCGAAATCAAGTTCACATCGTTTGTAATTTTTTGTTTGATAAATAAATTGAGCATATTTTTGCACTACTGTCCTACTGTGTTACCTTGACTCATGACGAATAAACGTTGTACCTGTATACTGCCCATAATCGCATATCAGTCCCATATGGATAGGAAATCAAGCAAAGATGGGACTGATATGTGGTTATGGGTAGTATATTCCTTCTAATAGTAGAATGAACGTTAACTTAGACTAGTGTTATTGGATAGTATTATAATAATTAATTATAATATTACATATATTATTCGTTATAAGATAGGTAAACACAGTAGCATGAAGGCTTCATCGCTCATGTCCTAGTGGAAATATTTTGATTTTTTTTTAATTAGTGGAATTATTGACTTTTTAAATTTCTATTAATTCTGGGCATTGAGCGTAGGTTTGTAAGTTATTGCGGTATTAGATGTTGATTAAACATTCGCCTTCTTTATGAAATATTGGTCTTAATATTTATTTTTGGAATATGCGGTGAATCGAACCCTTGATCGTTGGTGAGTCTTCATACACCGCTCATATTAGTTAGACAATTTTACTGGAGGAGGCCAAGGGGGGCTGTGGTATTTTTTGTTTTGTTAATCTTCGGTTAAATAGAAGCAGTGGAACTGCCATTCAATCAAAACGCGTCAAGGCTATTTGTTTGCGAGCACTCTTTCAAGATAAATGGTGCATTAGTGTGCACCAATTAAACGTCAAAAAGCTCTATAGATTGAGGTGTCACTTTGCCGCAACGCGTCAGATCCTGATCGAATGTGGGTGGACCTTAATGGTATGTTCATGGAATAAAAAAAAACTTTCTTATAAAGGGTCACCCACATTAGATCCGTTTGCGTTGCGTTGACGTACATTTGACAGTTAGACAATAGATTTAGCTGTCACTTTGTCGCATCGCATCGGGATCTAATGTGCGTGGGCCTTAATTGTGGAAAAAATATGACTCATTCCGTTTTAGTTTGATGAACCAGGTTCGACTCTGGGTTAGTTTCTTCAAAATATCACTCTCACGGTGAACTGGGTGAACTGAAATGTTGTGTACATGTGTATGTGTGACTTGAAATAGAAAAGTCAAAAAGGCAATGACTGCTAGCTGCCAAGCGATTGCTCTACAGTAAAGAGCCTTGGCAGATAAATTCAGGCTCTATACTCTACAGCTGTTTTCAGCTTAAATATGCACTGGGAATTCCCTTGTTCACTGCTGATTGTGACCGCTGCCATTTTATATTTTCCAAAATTTATTTGAACGCACGCAAATTACGAACTAATTTATGACCATGAAGGAGACGTTATCCAACAGCATAATTACATTTGATTGAGGAATATGGACAGTAAGTAGCATAATCACTATTGAAATTGCATATGTCATCTTTGCTCAAAATTGTATGGAGTTTAACAAAACCGGGTTTGTCTCGTACCACATTTAAAAATTGGTAAGACTTGCGGTGATTCGGGATATTCATAGAACCATTTTCTGGCCACCCAGTAACAGAATCGGTCTGAGGATTGCATGTTATAGCTATGATTGTTTATTTGTTTATTTGTTTACATAATAAATCAACTGACAATTAATGTCTTAATGAATAAAACTTAATCTAAATAGTTATGGTCAACGAAACGAAAACGGTCAAGTAACCGGTGACGAAACATATTTGCTGATACGTTAAAGTCAAATTCGCAATAAAAGTAGTTAAATTGTCGGCTGATTGCACGAATTGGCTCATTCTGCGTATAATTTCTGCCTCGTGGCTCCAAAAACAGAAATTCGCGTTGACGAAGAGGTCTCTCAGGAGCATACATATTTAGCTGGGCCAGCAACGATGGACAGTCGATGTCACCCGTGAGAAGCTTTCCAGCAAACATAGCTTGAGCGACCGTCCGTCGCACCACTAGCGGTTCGATGCCCAGAAGACGGCAACGCTCCTCGTACGGTGGCAGGTTCGATGAGTCACGCCAGTTCAAAAAACGATGAGCATATCTCACAAACTTTCGTTGAACAGATTCGATTCTAGCGATCCAAGTGGCTTGGAAAGGGCACCATACAACTGCACTTGATTCTAATATAGACCGCACAAGTGAGTAGTAAAGTGATCTGAGGCATAACGGGTCCCGGAACTCATCGGCAATTTTGAAACTAAAACCCAGTTGGCGATTGGCTCGGGAAATGATGTCGTTATAATGGATTTTGAAGGTGAGCCCGCAGTCCAGAGTAACACCGAGATCCTTTATTTGTTCTACACGGGCAATGCAACGTCCAAAGAGCACATAGTCAAACATAATTGGTTCGTTTTTATGGTTATAGGAGATGCCGTTGCATTTTGATCAAGATTCTATGCAATTAATAAAAAAAAATCGTGTATTTCTAGGACGACTTTCAGTAATGGACAGTTTTCCTGGTGATTCTGGATATTTGGGGATTCTTTTTCCGACCACCCAGTAACAGAATCCGTATGAGGATTGCATATTTCATCTATGCTCAATATTCTATACAAATTACAAAAAAAAGCATTAATCTCTAGGCTGTCTTTCAAGAACGGCCCAACAAACAATTGCCTACTGAAGAAACGACTTCTTGACGATTTTATTCCACTTCATGCTTAATAATACTTGTACTATTTTTAATAATAACTTCTGTTCAGACTTTGTTCACACAAATCTGGAGAATTTATTCAACCACAACATCAAAATATTTGGTGTTGAATAAGGTATGTCGAGAAGCTTTTATTCGACTTACAAAAAAGTTGTAACAGAGCTTATTCGATAAAATTTTTGATTATTCAGCGTTTATTAGACCATCTGTACTTCCTCTAACAGCGATGGTATAAAGGTGTATATAGACGGCTTAATTCGCATGTGAAATAATGTTTAATTATTACATCATTCTACATTTATTAAAAGATTATTCAACTACGGGATAATTAATGCACGAGCCTGGTTGTTTTCGTTAGTGCTTGATGTGTCCATTTATTTCTGTCGAATTTATTACATACATACATACATACACACACATGTCGTTAAATGGGATTCGAACCATGACATACCCCTTCCGATCACCAACCGCTTGCCTTGCCATCTGAGCTATCCTAGAATACATCATATGAGCAGCCAAATAAGTAATAAAAGCATGAATCTGAAAACCTATCAGCACTTCCAGCCGTAACTCTAGCTAACTCAAGGAGATGTGAGAATGATTAATTCATTCATAGTTGTTTAGCATTAGACCTCCATCTCTCTAATTTCGATGGAAACGATGCTATTCTTTTCTATAGATCTATGAATTGGTTGTCGTGAGTGATACGATTTAAATTAATTAGGAGTAGAACATAAATAAAAAAAAGGGTTGACGCTGGGATTGAACTCACGACCTTCTACTTGGAAAGCGGAAACGGTAACCACTATGCTACCAATTTCGTTTTGTTTCTAGCCTGAATCACTGTTGTGGAATAATGAATGAATACGCCGTTTGTAAAGCATTTATAAAGCATGCAATTAAAACATGGACGCCTACTGGAATAAGAGCTATTATGCTGACTGTATTCACCTTTATTCAGCAATATTGTTAAGCAATACAATGGAATCTAGTAATGAAGCTAGAAAACAATTATTAGACGTAGAATAAAGCATGTTATTAAATCAATTGAAACAGTCGGATTAAAGCGTCAATGTTTGTGCAAATTACGATTATTCTGTATGTTATTATATCAAACTTCTGGTGTTGAATCAGGAAGACAGTCATCGTTTGTATAGATTTTAATAAGCATATTAATCAAATCAGAGAAATCAGCAAAATAAAGGCGCATCATCGATCTCAATGAGGTTTTCTGAGCACATAATTTGACAACCCGTTTTATTCAGCATTGTACACTGTTATAAAGCATTTATTCAATCTATATGCTTATTTGTGACTCTGAATTGTTTGTTGAACAGTGTTGTGGAATAATGAATATAATACGCCGTTTATAAAGCATTTACAAAGCATGCAATTAAAACATGGACGCATAGTGGTATAAGAGCTATTTTGCTGGCTGAATTCACCTTTATACAGCAATATTGTAAAACAATGCAATGAAATCTAATAATGGAGCTAGGAAACATTTATAAGACGTCTAATAAAGCATTTTATTAAATCAATTGAAAACAGTCGAATAAGAACGACAATGTATGTGCAAATTACACTTATTCAGTTTGTTATTAGATCAAACCTCTGGTTCTGAATCAGGAAGACAGTCAACGTTTATAAAGCTTTTAATAAGTAAATTAATCATATCAGAGCAAACGGTGGAATAAAGGCGCATATATCGATCTCAATAAGCTTTTTTCAGCACATAATTCGACATCTTGTTTTATTCAGCATTGTACACTGTAATACAGCATTTATTCAATGTGTATGCTTATTTGTGAATGTGAATTGTTTGTTGGGGGGGTTTTCCGGAAATCTTCAGACCATAAGCCTCTAACTATTTTTCTCGGTCCAACTGGCCAACTACAAGTCCAATCGATTCTCTATCTGTTTCGCTGAAATATTTTTCAATATTTTCAGACTGGCTGATTCGTTGCTGTTTACCTTTTTGACATTTCACCATAATAATTTCACCATTGAATGTATGCGTGAAACTGATGAACCTCGAAAAAAAATTCGGGTTCGAACCTAGTCATTCTTAAGGTGACTCGCTGTGACATCCTTATTCTCGTAATCACTTCGAAACTTTAAGTGCACACATATCAGCTTCTACGACACGTGCAACATTTAAATTGTTACTCCACGTTTGCTGCATTGCAGCATACATGAAGTAGCAATATCAAAGGAAATGGAGCACTGATTTCCGAGATTTGTGTAATTGAAAATTCGAATGCAAGTGCATGTATAGCCTACGTGGC